TATATATATATAATTTATTTTTTTTTTGCGGTAATATTCTCTGGCTTGTTATGCAATGTTTATTTGTACTTTGCCACTTGTAAAGCAGCACTTTTGGTGGTGCTGTATGTTCGTTCCTTGTTCTGTTCTTTTGCTACCTCATGATTACTGTTTGTTCTGCTCATGTCGTTTGATCAGACGTTTAGTTTGATACTTTTCCTCCGCCCTTTTTGTTCCCCGGTTTTGCCATTTTGCACATGCGAAGTTACTTGAGCTTTGAGTAATAAAGACGACGAAAGCTTTCGAACGCTCTGTAATTACTTGGGGGTCCAATCAGTTACACATCGTAACACTGCCAATCTGAACTAAATGTTTTTTTTCCCCCGCAGGGTTATGAGCCACACCAAAGCATAATTGAAGAAGCTGAGAGACTCTCGAAAAAGGTATAGCCCCTTTTCAACCTACCAATTTTTATTTTATTTTTTATTTCCGGTTCATTTCCAACATTTCATTCTATCCCAGCACAGTACCCAGCTCATGCTGACCTGCGAGCCGACAGAGGCGGCTCTCCACAGCGACGTTTTGGTGACCGACACCTGGGTGAGCATGGGCCAGGAGGAGGAGAAGAGAAAGAGACTCCGAGACTTCCACGGTTACCAGATTACTATGCAGGTAAACGAGGCTGCTATTTTTTTTTCTTCTTTCAAAAAAGGCATTTACTGTTGTTTTGTCAATTTGCGTCGCCCGCAGACAGGAAGTGTAGCCCGGCCCGATTGGACTTTTTTGCACTGTCTTCCTCGCAAAAAGGAGGAGGTGGACGATGAAGTTTTCTACTCGTCTCGGTCACTCGTCTTCCCTGAGGCAGAGAATCGCAAGTGGACAATCATGGTGAGAAAGTGTCCAGTGGGCAGTAAAATCAATGATAACAGCCGTATGGCAATAAAATGACCCCAGACTTTAACATCCCTCTCTTCGCAGGGTTTGATGGTGTCACTCCTGACTGACTACAAACCACAGATGCCAACGCTCAAGTTTTAATGTCAACTTTAGGTGCACTCAAGGCATCTCTTCTTCAACAACAAGATCCAGCTGTGATTGTCTGTTGCGCCTTTGGAATTGTGTCCGCGATACGCGGTGTTGAAAATGGACGGATGGACAGATGAAACATGAAAGATGACTATGTAGACATTTTTCTGTGATAGGCAATGACAATAAAAAGTGTATGGCATCAAAATTTGCTTGAATGTATCATCGCAAAATACTGAACGCAAAATGTCTCACAATTTTAACTATTCCGTATATTTATTTTTAAAAAAAATCATATCCATATATATATATGATTTTTTTTTAAATAAATATGCGGAATAGTTAAAATTGCTTTCAGTTGTGTGTCGTTCAATTAGTTTGTTAGTTGCAGCACCCTCTTGTGGCCAGGATTGTCTTTACAATGTCTTTTTCATGAGTCGTATTTTGGCCAGGAGTTGCAAAACCAATTCACTCAATTCACTTTAAAGGTGCCCCAATATGAAACGTTCAAGGAATGTAGGATGTCTGTGCTCACGGATATTTATGTTGAACATTATGTTTAGGCATGTCGGCATGTTTAACACAGAAGCCAAATCCGAATTGAGCCGTTTTCATATGTGGATATAAACATGGGCGGAGCTGCATGGTGACCAGGGATGGCCATAGTCACCTCTACGGCCACGCCACACCTTGCAGCAAATTTTGATATTTTAAAATTTTCCTGCTTTTTTTATTTACATGGATTCCGTATTGTTTGATCCCTCAATACTCCCACAAGTTAACTGCTTATTTAAATAACTAGATTTGAATGAAAACCCACGAGAGAGTCTCTGAAATATTTGGAGTATTATCAAAAGGGCCTGGAGTAATTTTTGATCCCGTGTATGGCAAAGTAATACAGTATACAAAAACGAATAAAAATCTAAATGTTCTCACTTCAAAGACGACCTGTTTGATGAATATATGGAAGATTAACTCATAAATACAAATTATACAGACATTGAGGAAAAATAACAGCCCTTGGGTCAGTTTGCAAAGGTCCAATTTTCCATCTCCGGGTTAATGTCCCAAAAGTAGTAGACGTCACCCTGCGGACCAACACGGAGGACTCTGATTGGTTAAGAAAAATGACGTCATAGTGCGGGAAGCTTTGTTCCACTTGGGTGGCCCGAATTTGTAACCGCAATTACGATATTCATTTATTCGTGAATAAATTGGCACCGTTGTGTAAATAAGCACGAGTCATCCGCAACAAAGTTGTTTGTATACAACACGAAAGGGCATTCTGGTGTGCCCAAATGCGATTTTGCGCCACCATATACTGCAGCTCCACGATGTGTTCGCACACTTCAAATCTTAAAAGGGCGGAATACTTGCAGAAAAAAACGATAAGAAATAGCCACAGCGACGACATCGAAAATTACTCGCCGACCACCCACGCGTCGCGTGTGTGTGCGCGCATGAAGGAAGGCGTCTGACGGGGAAAGAGGGAGGTGAAGTCGGGGTGGGAGGAGGACGCCATTGCAGCCGCCACCGGTCGTTTGTTTATGTTGGGGATTCGGCGGGTCGAGACACGGACGCTCGCCCGGCTCGAGGACGCATGTGTCGGCTACAGTGATCGCGCGGACCCTCGGCCTGCCGGGATGCGGACACGGACGATTGGGAAATGTGGTTCGCTTGAACCGGAGGATAAAATGCGGGCGCACGCCTTCGAAAAAGAAAATCAGGTAAAGTGTGGGGATGAAGAAGGAGAGAAAGATGAGGAAGACAAAATGGAAGAAAGTTGCTCAACTTAGTTGGCTAACTAACCGGCTAGCCAAGTTGCTAATAAACTTCGAACAGAGTGCTTCAAAATAAAATCCAAACCACACTCGGAGCTAAATGGATTCACATCTAACTCCAATTTCAACACAAACATCGTTTCATGTCACACTTTCTCTTCAATGAACTGAGTTCTCCGCTGCTGCAGATAATATATAAACTAACGGAGCGAGACGCTGAGAGTCGATTCTGCTCTTCCAACGTTTTACGCAATTAAACCGATCTTTTGCAAGAGATTTTAGTTTGTGAAACATTTCCGATTTTAATTTCCCAGTTATTTGCCTACTGACGTCACTAGTTGCAACTCGTATTCGACTTTGAGCGTCTGAAATGTTCCCATTCTTAATTTTTTTTTTAATGTTAACCCCAACATATATATTTCAGGATTATTTTATTAAACATGGTTTAATCTCACCAAGACTCAAAGAAATAAGTAAATTCCCAAGGAATTTGCAAAAAAAAAAAAAAAGTATCCCAAACATTCAAAGAAATTTGACACGTGTGAGAACCCCCCCACTCGCTCATTCTGAATTTGCATTATATTTATATTTTATAATTTATATTTACTTTATACTTTTGTTCTTCGACCCTTTCATAATTTTTGCTGCTGTAAATTGGGAATTTCTCTATGATGAGACAAATAAAGGTGTTCTTATCTTCTATATTGTATATTAAAATATGGCAAACATTTATAGATAGAATGGTGAGAAATGGAATGAAAATTGAGAAATTTTGCGTTAATTGTGATCAATTTATGAAAAGATGCGACTATTTTTGGGGCGGTGTAAAACATGAAAACGGGAATTTCTCAAATAGTTAATTTCAACACATGATTCAAAATCATTTCAAAAAGTAAGCTTTGTGATAAATAAGATAATAAATACCTAAAAATGTGATCAAAATGTATAGAAAACTTGCTTCAAAAAATGAGAGCGAGTGTTTGACAATTTGACGCTTGTTGATCAGTATGTGAGTATTTCATGGAAAACGTGTCAGTGCTTGTTCCTTTAAGTTGCCGTTCGGTGTGCGCTGTTCCAGTGGCTCCTCCAATCGGCATGAACATCAGTAGAAACTGCACCCCACAGGGGGGTGGCGGTGGGCTGGCTGCGCTGGAGTCGGTTTCCATCGTAACCATCACCCTACTGGCCTGCCTGGGCAACCTTCTGATCGTGGCCACGCTCTATCGCCGCCCCTACCTGCTGACGCCCAGCAACAAATTTGTCTTCAGCTTGACTCTGTCCAACCTGCTGCTGTCAGCCCTGGTCCTGCCCTTCGTGGCCGTCAGTTCAGCCAAGAGGGAGTGGGTGTTCGGCGTGGTGTGGTGTAACTTCACCGCCCTGCTCTACCTGCTCATCAGCTCGGCCAGCATGCTCACGCTGGGGGCCATCGCCATTGACAGGTTAGCACGAGATCATGATCCATTCATGTTTACTGTCTATCCATTTGCTATTTGGATTCAGGCATGACCAATCAAGTCACGCTTGCAGCAAGTGACATACAAGTAGGATGTTTTTTTGGGGGGTATATTGTTTGTTTGTTTTTTTTAAGAAGGTGACAACATGATGACGATACAGGGCCACCACAAAATGGCACACGGTGCCCTGACAGGAAGATTACTTTTCCATCCCGACAGGTACTACGCAGTGCTCTACCCGATGATCTACCCCATGAAGATCACAGGGAACCGGGCCGTGGTGGTGATCGCCTACGTGTGGCTCCACTCCCTGGTGGGCTGCCTGCCCCCTCTCTTCGGTTGGTCCTCCTTCGAGTTTGACTGCTTCAAGTGGACCTGCGTGGCGTCGTGGCACCGTGAGCCAGCTTACACGGCCTTCTGGGTAGCCTGGTGCATCCTGCCGCCCTTCCTGGTCATGCTGGCGTGCTACGGCGTTATTTTCCGCGTGGCCCGCATTAAAGCCCGCAAGGTGCACTGCGGTACGGTGGTTGTCTCCCAAGAGGACGGCGGCGGCAGCGGCTCGCAGAGGAACGGACGCAAGAACTCGAGCACGTCGACGTCGTCCAGCGGTAGTCGGCGGAGCTTGGTGTACTCCGGGAGCCAGTGCAAGGCCTTCGTCACCATCCTGGTCGTGATCGGGACTTTCCTCATGACCTGGGGGCCCTATGTGGGTGTGGTTTGTACAGAGGCCCTGTTCGGACAGGGGAGCGTCTCCCACGGGCTGGAGACTCTGGTGGTGTGGCTGTCCTTCTGCAGCGCCGTGTGCCACCCACTCATCTACGGCCTGTGGAATAAGACTGTGAGGAAGGAGCTTCTGGGCATGTGCTTCGGTGATCGCTACTATCGAGAGTCCTTCGCCACGAGGCACAGGACCTCGCGCCTTTTCAGCATCTCCAACAGGATCACAGGTTTGTGTTCAACTCGTTTGTGCAGTTTTGATTTTCAAGTCATTTTACTGGAATTTTGGCCCCCTGTGCATTTCAAAATGTATTGAAGATGTATACATCTTTTTCTTTTTTTTTTTGAGAATGTAGAATTTTTTTTTTTACACTGTGCATCTGTAAACAACAGTAATCTTAACATAAGCTTTCACGACACATTCAAGGGAACCATTTTTACAAATCACCCATTCTGAAAATTAAAAATGCAAACGAACCTTGGTTTTTGTAACCCATTCTCATAAGTCTGATTAAAACCAACGAAATATATTCCATAGCAAATAATGTAAATTATGTTGAAAATTTTAAAATTATCCAACTCCTTAAAATATTCTCAAATTTCTGTCGTGTTACATGAAAGCAGACCAATTATTTTTGCGTATAGATAAAATAAGACATTTGCAAACATCTTGTATTTTGGAAAACCAATGATCATGTTTATCTATTTTATGACATGTTACAGACCAGTTACTAAATCCTACCGAGTCCACCTTGGTGCATGGTCTTGTCCATCGGTAAAAAAAAAAAATTGTTTTTGAATCAAGCAACAGAAATTTAAAAATGTATTTTTATCTGATTCATCAATAGATATTCAAGTTATAATTTTGTTTTCACCAGACTTGGGATTGTCGCCCCACTTGACGGCCATGTTGGCAGGAGGCGGCCAGCTTCTTACCCCGGGGAGTAGCACTGGAGACACCGGCTTCAGTTTTACTCAGGACTCGTGTAAGTGTCGCGCACACACCACGCAGTGAAAATATTTTTCAAGGAGAATCTCCCCATCGCTGTACTTATATATGCAGAATATTACACGCATTGCACAAAGCAGAAGAAAATAGTCCAAAGCAAGGCGTGCACATTTCCTTTTAACACTGTTGTTTCCAAGACTTAAGTAGCCTACATTTAATGTCAGGTCATTGTTTTTTGATACTTTAGTCCAGCAACTGTCAGATATTTCAAGACTTTTACTCAAGTACTATTCTCCAATGTGGCTTGAACTTGCACCTGTTAATTTCTGTTCGGATATTGGACTACTCTTTCTACATTTTCTCTACCATATTTGCACCCCCCCCCCCCAAAAAAAATTGTACAGTAATCCCTCGTTTATCGCGGTTAATGGGGACCAAAACCAACCGCGATAAATGAAAATCCACAAAGTAGCGAACAATAAAAATATACAGGTAAAAAAAAATATATATATATATATTTAAGTCCGCAAACGGTCCGCGAGAAGCTACAAAACAACAGCGAGTCACATAGAGCAACTTATGCAGTACTGTACTCCATGTATGATTTTTTTTTTTTTTTTTAAATTATGAATATGTTTGAAAAAATCCACGATGCACTGAAGCCGCGATAAACGAACCGCGAAATAGCGAGGGATCACTGTATTACTACCTGGGTTAGACACGTATTGTCTGCCATCTAGTGGATAATGTAATTATTTTGCCTGTCGGCACTATGTAGCTTGGCTCGTGACAGGTCGGGAAACACTATACTGTGTTAGTTAAAACATTGTTCATAAATAATTGATGATGGATTGTTTGATCATGGAACAGTTTGTTTCCTTTGCTACTATTTTGGATATTTGAAGACCCCCGTTTGCATGGTCACCCCCACAGGTACAGATGTGATGCTGCTAGACAACTTTTCCACTGATGGCTCCTGTCATCCACATTATTCCTTCAATCCGTCTGGGAAGAGGAGGAGCTCTGTCACGTTTGAAGACCAGGTGGAGCATTCCAAAGGTATTCGACAGCCCACCCACCCCCGCCGCTAAAAGCAGCTCCTCCTTTAATAAAAGGGCCAAGAAGTACCCTTGTGCTCACCCACCCGCTTCTTCCTCTACACAGCTGAGCATGCAGCATCAGTGCAGGTCCACGCCGAGGTCCACAAGTCACTGGACACCTTCGCCTCCTGCCTGGCCAAAGCCATAGAGAGTGACGCCAAGCTCACCCTCTTCGGGGACATTTTGGCTGCTCCGGCGAGTCTCTTCACGGCCCGGGTCGCACCCAGGCCCAGATATTTGGACGGTCAGAGACTGAGGCTGGAAAGCATCGACGAAGGCATCGTCAAAGACGACAATGACGAGCGGGACTCCGAGACGAAGCCAGCCTGAGGTCAGCCGGTCTGTTCGCAATCTTCCACGGGGATCATTCAGACTGTGAACAATTTTTTGTGAAAGACTGAAAAGACATCCTTTATTCCTACATTCACACTCAAACGTTACTCGAAATCCATTCGACCAAGTACTGGAGTAGCACCTAGCTTTCTCAATGGAAAATTATCAACAACATGTAGCGCTAAGTCGGTACCGTGCAGCGGTAGCTTACTTGATACATTTGATGATTGCTATCGAACCTTCAAAGTGGAACACAATTTGGTGCAATAGTCTAATTCCAAATTGCTCCAACTACAGAGCATTTTTAATATGGGAAATATAATCTGAAAAAGATAAATGTAGAGTCGATTACAGGCGAAAACCATCACCACGAGTGGGAAAAAAACCTAGTCAATAAAGGGCATTGACCAACTGTAAAAAAATACAACTAGTAAATCTTCTCACACGTTACGGACACCTCATATGTACTCAAACGAGAGACAGGAAGGTGTTTCTGACCACTGTCCCATGCAGTGGGGCAAAAAAAAAAAAAACAAACAAACAAAGCCAAAGAACCCAAAACATACTTGTGGAGTTAATACCTGAGATGCAAACTGAATCGAAGGCTTTTGATTTTTGAGGTCCAGTCTTGCAAAATGTACAAAGTTTTAGAACATTGCACATAAGATGTTCCACTGCGCAAGCCGTGTGTGTGTGTGTGTGTGTGTGTGTGTGTGTGTGTGTGTGCAAGATGCACATTTTCTCAGTGTGTGTTTTAAATCTGACGCCAGAGTCCCGAACAAAACTCTGGGAGGATGTTATTCGGAAAACATTTAAATGAGCACATTGATAGCGCTTCAGTCTTACCTCATAGGTTGTATTTTGAATTTTTTTTTTTTTTTTAAGTGAGATGTAACCTTTGATTTTCACCACATTGTAACTAAGACTTGTATCAAGTTTCTATAAAAAAAGTTTGATACGAGTGCTGTTTTGTTCACGTCACATGGAGTGCACATGCAATGAGTCAACCAAATGATGGTGCGGCAGCGCGTTTTTCACGCGGACATCTTTCAGATGCCTTGTAGCTTTATTATTTTTTTTCCCTCCAAATTTGTAAAAGATTTTATCGACATAAGCCATAATATTTTTTGTTCTCCTCTCTCCAACAAAAGCCAAAGCAAGTACCCCTCGTTTACATCGCTCCAAGTCCAAGTTAACACTGAAAACCAATGATGCTCTCTTCTGACATAAGAATATTGCACTTAATCTCACACACCACCCACCTCTCACAGCTGATGTATCAGGACACCTTTGCATTCAAGCACACGTAGTTCACCCTTTTACATAAACATTGGTAAGAAAGTCTCTTTAAAAAAAAAAAAAAAAGTGGTGGGAAGTGGGGCTTCAAAAGGTAGTATTCTACACTTGTACAAAGAAGTGCTCTCCAGCAAAAAAAAAAAAAAAAAAAAAAAAAAAATTCTCCCGCCTACGGCTCGTCCTCGTTTTCTTGGCCTGAACCTTCAGAGCGTTCGCCTTCGAGACGATCTGGAAAAAGGTCAGAAGTTTGAGGGTGCGGAGGTAAAAAGTTGAAGAGCATGTGCAAAATGTGTACCTGATCGGATGTGATTGAGGGACGCCAGCATTCGCAGCATGAAGGAAGCAGGCACTGTGATTGTGTTCCTCGTCTCCTCCAGCATCAGCTCATTCCTTGTTATCACCTGGCAGAGGGAGCCAGTAAAAGGGGAAAAAAAAATGTTTTAAAGGGGATATATTATGAAAATGTTACTTTTGAATGGCTTGTATAAAAATAGTTGAGTTCCTGTCCACCCGTCAAGTAAAATTAAGCACTTAAATACAGTAAATGTTTGACAGGCAGTTTTCTGAAAATGTGCCCGTGAAACAAACGTTCCACACTTCTGCATAAAACATTGGGGTTCATTTACAGAACAACCGCTACCAAGATTCTCTGCCCATGACACGGTCAGCTAGGCTGGCCAAAGTTCCAAGGCCACTTTTGAGTGGCATCTGAAAAGCAAATCATGCATCACCCACCACGGGTGCGACGCCACTTGCTGTCATTACAAAGGCAAACGGGAAGCAGAGCCTTCCGGAGCGGAGATTCAAACCCAGAACCTGAAAACTGTGAGGCACACATGCTATCTCCACAATAATTTGCTGGCATTTTACGGCCGGCTATTGTAGAGACTTTTCATCTTCGGTCATCGCTGAAGTCGCAATTGTCGTACCTCGTCAGCAAGAACCCTGTTGAAAGATGGCGACTGCTCCAGCGGGGACCAGATCTTGATGTTGTAGTCTATTCCGGACGAGGCCAAAACTGGACAGGAATAGGGAAACAATGAGTGCGGCGGAGTGATGGTGGAAGGTTCCGAGAGGGACTCACTGGGGTCGTAGGGGTGCGGCTGTAGACAGTTGACCACGTGGTTGTCTGCCTCCAACAGCATGAGGTGCTCGGCGGTGTGCCGGTCCCAGATGAAGATGTGGCCGCAGTCGGAGCCGCTCATCACGAACTTGTTGCCCCAGAAGCAGGACTCCTTTATCTGGCACAAGAAAAACATAAATGGACTTACTATTTAAACATGACGGGTTTAGAGATTAGAATTCAAAAGTGTGAAATATATACGTTTAACTTTACAATGTTAAATTGTCGCCTTCATCGTTGCCTGTACAGTTAAGGAAATATGTTAAAAAATATTCCAAATGCTGTAATTACAAACAAAATGATTATTAACATGCCATACGGTGCGCTAGTGGTGAGCGCTCTGCTTCATAGCTCTTAAATTCTGGGTTTGAATCTCGGCTCTGGCCTTCCTGTGTGCAGTTTGCATGTTCTCTCCGGTTTTTCATCCCGCATTGCAAAAAACACAAACGTTAGGTTCGTTGAAGACTCTTAAATTGGGCGTGAATGCGATTGATAGGCGAGCAGTCTCAGGTCCCTCACTCAAAATCAGCTGGGTTAGGCTCAAGCTCCTATGTGACCCCCCCTCCTGAGGTCAAGCGCTCCAGAAAACGGAGGCAGAAAGCAGCCGGGTGCGTACCATCGTGCGAGAGTTGCGGTGGCCCTTGTACACCATTTTGACCGAGGGCCTCCTGATGTTCTGCGTCTCGCTCTCCTCCATCTCTCTTCTCTCCTTCCTCCTGCGAAACTCAAGCTCACAATATCATGACCTCAGCGTAGGGGTGGGGCAAAATATTGTCGTGTCTCACATTGTTTGATACAGTATCCACACATACATTGGTATGTCCTTCCTCATCTTTAGGTTGCGACTGCCTTTGCCATCATTTGACCAAGTATTATGTAAACAACCTTGAAAAACATGGTTCATTACACATATTAGATTCCATTTCGGTTTTCAGGGTTCATACCCTGAAAACTTCATTTGACAACCATAAGCCATTGTCAAGTGGCTTAAGGTAGTCAAATTGAAGACTTCGACTTTTTCAAGCCACTTGCCTGAAATGAGCTACCCCAGCTGTCACACATACACACAACTAAATGTTTATTCATGGTTCAACTGATTAAAAACTAGATTATGCTCCTAAAATGCAAGACGTCGTGAATTAATCAAAATCTGGCATTTCTTTTTGAGGTGAATTCAATGTTATTGGAGGAAAATTAAAACCGCCATTTGTGAAACTCAATGTTCTGTATTCACACCGATTAAGAAGCCAACGATTTGGGGTACTGATTATTGCCAAGAATTACCAGTAGCAGCTTTGCTCAAACTAGCTTAAATAATGTTATTATGAAGAATTATTGATATTCATTGATGTGATGGCACTGACCATGTTAATGATATCTCACAAAATAAATTGGGAAACAGATCAATACCAAGATACAACAACACTTCACAAACATCGAAACATTTTCAAATGCTCACTGTTGAGTTACTGTCAGACCAAGCCTCCGAGCTAACTTTTGTGGTCCTTGGGGGCTACCTGGTGTCTGCGGGCACCTTGTCGGTGACTCCTGCTCTACAGTAATGAAGCCCATGTGTTATTACTTTGTATGAGTATGATTATTTGTTTTATATTATGTGAGAGGATGTGTCTATTTTTAGATTCAATAACGTGATACGCTTGACGGCAATCAATATTTACATCAAAATCATAATTTTGGGAGCGGAGGGTGGGGTTGCAATATATTAATTATTGGGCGATAAGATGGTCGACTGGTTAAGCACGTTCTCCTCACAGCGCAGAGGTGCAAGATTCGATTCCTGGTTCCGGCCGTCCTGTCTGGAGTTTGCATGTTCTCCCCGTGCATTTGTGAGTTTTCTCCGGTTTCCTCCCACATTCCAAAAGCATGCATGGCAGGTTAATGGAACACTCCAACTTGTCCTGAGGTGTGATTGTGAGTGCGAGTGCTTGTTTGTCTATGTGTGCCCTGCAATTGGCTGGCAACCAGTTCAGCATGTACCCCGCCTGCTGCCCCAAGACGGCTGGGTTAGGCTCCTGCACGCCCCCGACCCTCGTGAGGATAAGCGGCTCCGATAATGGATGGATATTGATTCTCTTCCCCCCCGATTGTCCCGATCCAACTGACATGACAATTTGGATTGTTGATCTTTTTTTTTAATTTGCATTACAGAGACACTGGATCGGATCTCAACAAATACTCAAAATCAAGTAACTGGGACTCGGACGCAAAAAACTAAAAATAAAATTGTGATTGGGACAACCCAGTATATCACCCTGCGATTCCCACCCTGACTTGGGTCAGTAATATATCCTTGTCCATCAGTAGTTTGAGTCCAGCTCGGTGCATCACACACTCAGTGGCGTGAGTACCTACATGCAGTTAGTTTGGTGTGTGTGTAGTAGTTGCCCTCATGACACACAAATGTTACCTGATCATTCTATCTCCTACAGCGGATCCTCTGGAATTTAGTCTAAATGTGCAGTATGACAAACAATGATAAAACTTGACAAATGTGAAAAAGCAGATATTGAGATTGTGAGAGTCGAGCTGTCGAACGTACCTTTGGCCCTGTCCTCGAAACCTGGCTGACGGGATAAGGATGGGGTCGTCATCGCTGTCGTCAGAGTCCTGGTTCCTCCTTGCGGGCTGGCTCCGGTTCTCATCCACCACCGAGACCACATCTGGCCTATCCTCCCCCGGGGGCTCTTGTCTCCGGCAGTCCCCCGAAGTTTCCGCCGGCGGATCAGCAGGACTCCTCTCTTCAGACGAGCCTTCCGTTGGCTCCACGGCGGCACGCGCGAAACACTTGTTGGCTTCGTCACACAAGTGTAAAAATAAGATAACTAAAGAAAAACTCCTTTAACCCCACCAACAAGTGATATTCGAATCTACATTTGTATGTATTCAGGAGAAAGAAATCCACACATTTTTATCCATCTCAGGGGGGCGGCCATTTGACCACTAGCTGTCGACTGAAAACGACATCATTGTTGTTCAGCGCTCAGGTCAGGACCAATCACAGCTCACCTGTTTTTTTTTTTGAGTTTGGTCATATGAGGACAGTGGTGGTTAATCTGATTGGTCGGCCACATTGTGAACAAGGGCCACCAATCAGCAGAGAGCAAGGGAGAGCAACCGCACACATGCAGGAATTAACCACAACACGAAAAAAGAAAAACAAACAGCCACGAGTTATCGCGGACCGTAGCAATCATCGATATGTTCCATCAATTTTGATTGCAAAGACATTACTCACGTTCCAGCACAGGGTTCTCTGTCGACACACTCTGTCGGCTCTGCCCTGTGTCAGATGCTTTAGGACCGCCCCTGCCCTGAGAGCTGGATGCGCTGCTGCTCCTGAAGAAGCAAAATCATTTCACAACATTTTCTCATCATCGGATCGGTTGTTGTCATGCAGACTTAAAAACTGTACAGTTTCAAATCCACGCGTGGGATAAAAATGTCTTCCGTGGGCTTACCACTCATCAGTGAAGTCCAGCTTGATGGTACTGGCGGTGGTTCCTTCTGAGCTGTAGTGCAGACTGAGCACCGGTTCCGCCGCGCCGGATCGGCTGGTGTTGGAGGTGGAGGGAGAGCTGCAGATGGCTGGCAGAGGAGGGTCGTCCGACTGTGAAACAGATACGCCACCTGTGAGGCGAAAGTAAACACACAACACATCAACACGAGCGGTTCATTAGTGCAGTTAAAATCATCTCAATCAATAGATATGTATGTTGTGCGCGTCCGTGTCAATGCCACTGGACGGGGCAACGCAACTGGTGTCCTCTCTATAACGGTTTCAAAACGCACCCTGCTGCTCATCCAGAGTCATGGATCCCAGCTGCTTGTTTACCACCGACGAAGGGGAATCTGCAGCATATGAATAAAAATAAAATAAGCTGTGTCAAAAAAAAAAAAAAGATAAGCACCATCTGTGGGCCAAATATTGGAACTGCACGGTCACGATGCAGAGGAATTGGAACGCAAGCGACCGAATCATTGCATTGCGATGTTGTGCCCTAAATTAATTAAACAAGAGAAAACTTAAGTCCATCACAAATTAGTTGTTGCACAACACCAGCAACAAATCTAACTTTGCCAGAAACTGCCTTTTGAGAGAACATGAATACAGTATCTCTAACTCCTACTTAGCAACGTAGTAAACGCTCCTCTACCTTCCCTCACCCATGCCGCCAAACATGCAGTGAGCACAACAGCGATCGGGCAAAGTTAACTTTTTGAAGAAAGGACTTCAATTGTTTTTTAAAAGATATTAAACTGACAGCAAAGAGGACAGTCTACTGTGCACATGCTCGGGCCACTCTAAAAAGGGTTAGGGCCGCAAGTAAAACCGCAACAAGAAACTGGAGTGATGCAGTGCGGTGGTGGAGAGCAACTTTAATGGGCTCATATACGGTCTGTTCAAGATGGGATTATTTCAGGTTATTTGAGGTACTGCAGTATCTGAGCAAGAACACCTGTGAAAATTGTGAATGTGGCAAAGGGAGGACAGGGATGCCAAAGTCTTTTCTGTATAAAGGACTGAAACAACATAATTTTACATTTTCAAAGGAAGTACAATATCATGGCCATTAACAGAGGCGGGAAGCAAATTGCCTGTAGTCTATCCCGCAATGCCAGGACGGAGGTGAAAAGTTTAACACCAAACACTCACTTATATGTCACAACACAAGAGAGTATTGACCACATCTAGTTACCTGATTGCGGAATGTCTTGTCGCTGTGCGTAAGCAGTATTAGTTGCTGGTTCTGTGTTATGTCCACGATGTGCCAATTTTGCAGGATTGCTGCGTGAAAGACATTTTTCTGTCCTTTTCTGACTCAAGCTGTCCCGCTAACAGGCCACGTTTGGGTATAGTACAACATTAGGGCCATATTGTAAATGGTATATTGCATAATGGCCGGGACACGGGTGTGAGGTTTCACACTCTCTTCTCCCGTCCTGTTGTTGTGAATGAATGAAATTGATATCGAAGTAAAAGAGGCTAGTGGCATGTTAATAAGCACATGGAGGTATTTCTGTGAATGGAGGAAGGATCACAAAGGGATTAGTGGTCATTGTGGAGACTAACTGGCTCAACGCAAGCATGTCGAGGGGAAGATGGCAAGGGGGAAGGGGCAGGCAAAAAAAAAAATGACAAGAGGGGAATGGGGTGAGGGAAACCTGTATGGGGCTGCATCTCAGGAGCAGCAGTGGCGTCCAGTCTTTCAGGGAGTGCAGAGGAAGAGGAGGAGGAGGAGGCAGAAGAAGGGGTCGCTCGCCGCCCCTGCCCTGGGGGGTCGGCCAGGCGAAGTAACCTCTGCAAACGCCTACACACTAAACTTATGGGCAGCCGATGAGGGCCATACTCTGACGGAAAGGCGGAGGGAGAAAGGGTGGAGGTTATGGATGGAGGAGGGGCGGGGCATAAGGAAAATGGAGGACATGTTGCTGAAGGAGAGGAACGCCCACACACACACTCAAACATTACAAAGAGATGTATGATGACGTTTTTTTTTTTTTTCCAAATGCCTTCATCAAAATGGCCCGACAATTAGAAGAATAACCCTCTCGAAATAGCCCACCGCCTAAAAAAAAAACTTCAATACAGCATAGCCACGAATGTTTGAACCAGAGTTTGACCCAGAGAAAGACGATTTTCCCATGTCACCTTTGATAATATACATGACAGGTAGACACTTACCGGAGGGTGCTGTTTCCGACATGGTCGTTGCCGTGGTCCCTACAGTCGGGGTCTGTCTCCGTGACTCAGAGGATGAAGGTGCTGACCTCTCAACTGATGATGCGCTGGAAGAGGCAGAAGGTACGGTAGCGGCTGGCGATGACGCAGACGAGGAAGAGGACACAGGCGAGGGCGCCACCGCAGCAGGACTGCTTTGTACGTCCGAAGAGTCGGCTCCCGCTGGCCTCTCGGGGGCGCTGGTCCCCCGGTTGGCGACCCTTTCAGTGGCAGCGGGAATATTCTGGTGAACAGCCATTGCTGGAAGCAAAGAGATTTAAAAGAATAAATATCACACACCAAATAAAGAATTTTTAGGTAAAACCATACAGATTTTTTTTTTTTTTTTTTAATTTAAAAAAATTCACCTCGGGGTCGCGACTGAGGGCGAGTTCCTCGACTGCTCTGAGCCTCACTGGCTTCTTCGAACCAGCGTGACAACATGTCCGACATCCTCTGCATAAGGGACACGTTGGGGCTCTGCTCCCCTAAAGGGGGAAAAAACAGAAAGAGTAACAACTACAGTATGTGTCGCAGTCTTTATCGGAAGCAAATCTTGTCAAATTGACACCTCGAACAATATCCATCAAAACAATGTTATTACCTCGGGCAAGTCCTGAGATGTGTTTCTCATATTTGAACTAATTTCTGCACATTGTGTAGGTGTAGTCAATGAGCGGATTATGTTTGTGTGACCTTATTCTGACCCGTTGGAAAAACATCCACGGGAGATACATTTACAGGTGTTGTAGCGGCGGCGGTCAACAGTGACATACATAGCATCCCGCTCCCTCTCGCTCTCGGGACGAGCTCGGGGTCCGGTGTCTGACCAGTCACCTCGCAGACGGAGGCGCTTCACTGGCGGCTGCCTAAGCTGCGGAAAGACACGCGCACGAGCGCGCGCACGGAGAGATTAGCAGTTCGTCAGTCAAAGCGTGTTCAAAAATAGCCGCGCTGCCAAAGCCAAACAGCGCACATCTCGGTCAGTCTACCCCTCTCACACGGCACTCTGCCCGTTCCCATGCTGTCCCCATCGCTGCAAGGGCCAGAAATAGGAGAAGATGGAGGTCTTAAAAGAGTATCGACCACTTAAATGTGGAAGTCGGGCACACTCAATCAGAGGAAGTAGAGATAAACGTGGAGTGGGGGAGACACACTCACCACACCAGTTCTAACAGAACATCCACTCGAACTATTTGAGGCGAGTGGGAACACAGTGTGCATGGGTTGCTCTATTTGGAAAGGAATGTTGGGTCGCCATCTCGCCACAGCTGAACTCACGAGGCTCTGAAACACTGGCAGCATGATGGAGCACATTTCGGACGCAATTCCTCAGACAGATCCCCTTTCTAACGTACGTGCTCCCGTGTCATGACCCCCATTGGTCGACGGGAGGAAAAAAAACACCTCATCCGCAATTCAAACAAGACCACAGGAGGCCTTTTTTCTTTTCGCCTGATTTTCGGGCGCCAATCTAGCGACCTTTAGAGGACATTTTTCTCAACAGGGTCATCACAAGCCGCATCGACATTCTCTGGAAAAGCCGCGACTTTTCCATGTTGCTGTTCTGTATCAATGGTACCGAAATAGAACGGGCGGGGAACAAATTCGATCTGGTGCTTTTCCACCTTGGGGCAGTATCAAATGCCATCTGTCAAAAGAATTTAAATATTAGTTTCTAAATACATTCGACACAATATAAAAAATTGCTGAATACTGACAACTATGTACAATAGCCTTCAATTGTAGAGTGATAAGAGTTCAACAATTTTTGACCATTTCAGTTTATCGATTTTTTTTTGGGG